CCCCAAAACCCCAAAACCCCAAAACCCCATGATAGTTATATTATTTAAAATAGGTTGATAATAATTATAAAAATATTATTGAAAATTGCAATTATATATAAACAAATTGATCAAAACTCTTCATCTAAACCTAATTAAATTTTAACTTGTAAGGAAGAGCATGCAAAATTTTAAAGAAAATCAAGTCCCAAGAACCTTAAGGGATAAATTTAAGTATGAACGCGACTTAGGCTCAGGAACTTTCGGGGTTGTCTGCAAATACTAAAAAGATGGAAAAGCTTATGCAATTAAATTTGAACAAACAAACAACTCTTCTTCGACTAATAACGAAAAAAAAGTTCTCAAAGATATAATTAATAAGAATGCACTAATCTCTGATCCAAATTTGAGAGTTAATGTGCCATTCTTATATGAAGATGGCATGGTTAGAGCTGAAAATAATTCTCAGATATCCTTCAACTTCCTTATCTTAGATTTCTTCGAGAAAAATATTTATCAGGCAAATGAAATTTTAACTAAAGGCTAGTTGGCTGTTTAAATGTTCAAGCAGCTTGAAAATCTTCACAGAATGGGATATGTTCACCGAGATGTGAAGTTAGACAATTTTATGATCCATAACAAGGAAGTTTACCTTATTGATTTTGGTTCTTCAAAAACATACAGAACTGTAAAATAGGATGGCTCTTAAAATCATATTCCATTGTAAACTTAATGTAAATTTGAGGGAACTCCATATACCGCATCTCTAAATTCACATAGAGGTATTGAGGTATCAAGAGTTGATGATCTCATATCAGTTGTTTATTCCCTCCTTTGGCTTTGGGAAGATAACCTTTCTTGGAAAGATGCTTTGAATTAACAGAGGGATTAGCCATTATAATCAAATGAGCAAATTGCTCTGTGTTATAAACACAAATTGAAGCTTCGATCTTTTCATCTTGTAAAATACGAAAGCTAAATACTGTTCTAAATTTTGAAGTACTACCTAGATAAAATGCAAGATCTATAGTATGAAGAAATAGACATTGACTACGAATTCATTTACCATTGTGTCGCTTAAATCGATAAAATCAATAATGAGAGTGATTTAATAACATTATTGAACAAGATAAAATGAGATGGAGTTTCTCTCATAAAGGTAGAGGAAAACATTGGAAAATCTAAGAAATAAGCAGAGGATAAATCATGCTAATCTGAAGAGAAGGAATTAACAGAATTTGTTTCTAGCATTTCAATCAATGTTGTCAGTAGAAATGAGTGCTAGTTTTCAAAAATTTTTGCATTAAACTGCAGTAATTAAAATCAAAGTTAAATGGATCAAAGTTAATAAGCTCATTCATTAATTTAGACCAAAAAAGCATTAATTTAAGAAGCTGGATAATTAACTAGAAAATTTTAAGAAAATAATAAAACATTGGTAAATTTGATAAATCCTTATTTGCAGCTTTGCTAGTAAACATCCTCTAATTATCCAAAAATAATGGTTATCTAAAATCAAATGGTAAAGAAAACAGTATCACATTTAGAGGTTTCACTTTGTACTTATAACATATAAAGAACATAATCTTTAGTAAATTTATATGATGCTTAATATTTGTTAACAAGATAAAAATCGTAAGATAATTATCATAATGTTTAATCTTTATGTAGAAATTAAATTGAATAAAATGTTAAAGTCAATGAATCACAACTAAGCAAAGGTTCTCATTATTAAGACTTGAAAATTTAAAATACTTCCTTCATATTTGACAATACAAATATCAATAAAGCTTTAAATAATTTGGAATAAGTTAAAATTCCTACTATTCCTTAGAATAAAGTCTCATTGCTAAATCAAAGCTCATCTAATTTTGCTTTTTCTTCTGGAAAATATTGCAATTCATCGATTTCTAATGATTTGATTCAGATAAGCAAGCCAAAGCAAGGATAAATTTTTTCAACTCACAATTAATTTCTATAATCTCTTTAAACGTGTTAAGTTAAACTTATGTAAACGACTGCTAGTTCAATTAATATATTTAATACGAAGAGATAAATCTTCCAGCAATTAGATAATTTATTTGAAATTGAAATTTAGAATTAAAATAAAACTATTATTGTGTCATTAAGTAGTGATGAAATTTAATAAGATTAAGATTTACTCTAGAATTAAAATGATATAATTGCTGGCATAATTAGTAATCAAGATGCAATTGATTCTTAAAAATTTGAAATGATTGATGAACCAGTTTAATGTGAATTAGACTTAACATTTCCTAGAATAAAAGCATAAGAAATGAATAAAAATTTTGAAATCTAAATGTTCCAATTAATTAGTATAGTGTTGGATGATAATCATAAGGATAATGTCTAGAAGTGCAAATAATTCTGTAAACTAAATGCTTAACTCAATGAAAAAAGCAAAGAAAATGAAAATGCTATTAAAATAAATAATCTTTAATAATTAATTGAGCAATTGTAGCAATAATATACTGAAAAGATATAATAATTAGAATCATAGATTTAAGAACTACAGAAATTTAATAGGCTTTAAGAATCTAGCTAATTTAACTTGTAAAATAATGAAAGCTTAGAAAAATAGAAAAGCATATCATAAGTTGATTTAATCAAAGGAGATAAATAAGATGTAAAATCTAAATAATTAAACAGCTCTATCTTATTGCAATGTAGAAAAATTAATAACAAGATTGCTTAAAAAAAAGTATTTAAATCAAATAAATTCTAGCGAAATTTGGTTCAAGATTCAGCTAATTATTGATAATTTATACAATTTAAATTATGATTTTAATATATTCTGCTATGATTTATAAATCAGAAGAATGGGGTTTTGGGGTTTTGGGGTTTTGGG